AGTTTCTGTCTGCATGTTCTGTACAATATTCGTTGCTCGCTGTCAAGAGTGTCTTGTCCCAACATCGACAGTCATGATGCGCTGTCAACATAGTGAGTTGCTACGTCACCCGACAAGAGACCTCCAGCTCGCCGACCATGGTCACTCCGGCACGCCGATCCCCATACCGCCGCGGCAAACCTGCTCCCCGTGAAAGCGGCCAAGGCAGAGCTCCGGTGGGCTATCTCTGTACGCACCTCCAGCAGCATTTTTGTCCAGGGGTGGTAAAGGTGTGTATTTTGTCGTCGACCTAATTTCTAGAGGCTGACCTCTTCCCGAACACCAAAGTCGCCTTGACATGAAGGAGGGGGGGGGGGGGGGGGGGAGGCGATGGGACGCTGTGTGTTAACACCAAAAGCGTATCCCTTGCAAGTCTGGTTTCGGAGGAGTGATGTTTTTACGAGCATTGCAGGACGACCCAAGGCCAGCAGGGGCGGTGGGCGGCAGGTTCCGGCCGCGCAGCTGCGTCCGCGACCGCGGACCGCGCGCGAAGGGCGCGCGCGCTGTTACATTAACGAAGCCCACGCTATTAATATAGGTTCGAAACAAACAAAACTAGGCACCATTGTACTCATAATCAAATAAGAAACACGTCTCCTTCACGTCCCATGCATCTACACTGCGTGGTTTCGTACATATGAACATGCAAGGCTGAGGTATTTGGATTTTCAGGAAAATTTGACCTTAGACTTGGTCTAGTGGCATAGGCGGATCTTGGGGGGGGGGGGGGGGGAGGCACGGGGCTATGGTCCCCTAAAACCTCTGAGAGTATGTTTCCCCCCCCCCCTAAAACATGCCCAGAACTTCATTAAAAGCTTCGTCTACTTACCGTCTGTTTTAACTTTAACTGTTTTAACTGTTTTGTTTTAACTTCTGCTTAAGATTCAAAAGCATTTCGGTGCTTTTTTCGGTTTTGAATGGTGTCCCTACTAGGTATTCGCGAAAGGTACTGGACCTCGGATCCCACACCAGCCAGCTGGCGACGAACGGTTGCCCCCCCCCCCAAAAAAAAAGACAACAACTCCAGGCTATGTCCGCCCCTGTCCAGTGCGGTAAATATTAACAACAGGAGGCTTCTTAACAATCGCAAAATCTCGTTGATGACAGCTCACTGATTTTGTTTTCGCGAGGTTGTACCTTTCTTAGCTTGCAAACGACAAATCTCCTCTCCCCTTTATCTGTCCGCGTCATAAAAACCGACCAACCAGGATAAAGGTTAAAATTGTTGGCTAGCACCCTTTTTAATTCATTTTACATACGCTGGTGTAAAAATTTGCATTTCAGACCACGAAAACATTAGCTGGTAGAGCAGAATGGCACATTTTGTTGCCACCGTCTAAACATTAATAGAAATGCAATCAGCAAGCCAAAGTTGCCCTTTGCATGCCTAGTTGCTTGCAGATCTTAAGTTGCATGTGATGCTTGCCATGTATAACGCAAGAGTGTCAATTCAAATCAATTTCTGGGGGCAAAGCCAATTTTCATGTTGGGTTGGCCCCCTCAATGCTGATTCCTCCTCTTTCAACAGTTTTAACTGGTAGATAGTAAAAAGAATGAGGAAAAAGCTAACTATGACACAAAACCATCTCCTCTGGGCTTGATTAAGCACTGGTACCAGCCAGACACGTAGCCTTGGGTGTGGCGCCCCTGTAATGTGATAAGCTGAGCCATGGTCATCTTGCCAACATTCGTTTGGAACAAGCTGGCCCACTACATGACAAATGAAAGAGAATGGCTGATGATTTGCTTTCGAGCTCATCTACGCGAATGCTGCGACGATTTCAGCAGCAGACATGGTCAACTACAGGTGAGTCGGTGAAGAAATATTGTCTTCAAGATCAAAGAAGGCAGAGATCATGCACATTCTACGAAATATTAAAACTAATGGGTTAAAATCATAACAATGCCCCGAGTGCGCTCGCCGTTCGCCCGCCACCGTTCGCGTCAAAACAAGAGGTCGAGTCTAAAAAAGCAGCATATGGCGCAGACACGAAAGTTCTCCGAAACGGCTCGTCCGATTGCATTCAAACGTTCACCAATCGATTCCGTGCAATATGATGAGTTATGTGGAGGCAATAATGAGACCTGACCTGAGGTCAAACACCTCGAAAACGCGAAGGAAAACTTGCACGCATGCAAGCATGCAAATGCAGACAAATTAGATCCCATAGGTCACTGCACCGATCGCTGTGAAACAAAAAAAGTCCTCAAATTTCAGAAAGTTCAAAATAATTGCTTGTAGGCAACTTAGAGCTTAAAACCTACTAAACTGAGCACTGACGAACCTTCACCGTCTGAAGGCCCGAAAGGCCGGACGGAGGTCAAATAAAGGGGCCCCAGCCCGTAAGGCCGGGTACTCCAGTACCAATCAGGGGGCCCTTTGCGCTGATCAGGGGCCCTCGAGTCGATCAAGGTCTATATGTTGGCCAGACACCGCCAATAATGTACGGTCTGCTCCGTGGTGGTGTGGGCCTGAAGGCACTTTTCCTAAGCTGGGACGAAGCCGGAGGCTACGACCAATACAGCGATTTGTATTGGTCGTAGCCCCAGGCGTCTGTAAGAGCCACACAGCGTCTAACAGTACCCGGTTTTGGCAAGGGGCTTGATTCGACCAGATGCAGTATTCGAGGAGTCTCGAAGAGCCTGGAGGGCCCATCGAGCCTGACTATCAAGGGGCCGACTGGAGGGTCTGAGGGCACAAAGGGCTGGTCGGAGTCCTTATTCAGGGGGTCCGGCCTGCGGGGCGGGTCTCAAATGACAGTCAAATGGCCCTTTGCGCTGATCGGGGGCCCCTGACTCGATATGGACCTTATGTCGATCAGGCACCACCAGTACTACACAGTCGGCAGAAGACACCCTGTGTTGGAACGGAATGGCACTCAACCCCCTGACCGGGAACAATAATATGTCTCCCCCCCCTCACCATACTGTTCTGCTCGAGGGAGCCCCTTTCCCGGAAAGAAGAAGGGGATATCATTAGTGTTGAATGGAGTGCGCAAAAATGACTTCGAAAGCAAGCAAGGCCATCCCATGCTCCCCATGTTTACTGTTTACCATCCTTTTGCTGAATCGACTTGTGAAGCAAATTATATCAAAAGGCTTGAGCGTACGCGTCCGCGGTTTCGGGAGCAAGGACGGCGACGGTCTTGGTTGCAGCCTCCGTAAAACCGAACAGCGCTGGTCGCTGCAAGTGACACCAGTCGGCGGACGCTGCGCGCGTGAAAACGACCGTCATAAGGTAATGATTTTAAATGTCTTTGAAATTAATTCGTGTCTTTCAAAGAGGAGACTGGGACAAAGACAAAGAGCACCTTTTTTACACGTTGAGGCTGTCCTCTGGACAGTTCAACAGATACAGTTACATGAAAGATAGAGATTTTACCTTTGCTCTGCTAGATCCACCACCAGGCTCCAGCACCGCTTCGCGGTGCTGTGAGGGGCAATCCGATCTTGTCATCAATAGCAATTGCGCAGGCTAAAGATACACCCGGGCTCCCTTCTAAATGTGTCATCACATGCTATCAAGCGTTCAAAGGTACTTCTTCAAATGCGTCATCCTTTTCGTCCTCCCGTTGGCCACGGCCTAGTGTTAGCCGCGAAGCTGACGCTATGCGCTCTACGGAGACTGCAGCGTCTGGCGTCGAGTTTTTTTTTGTAAGATTTGCGAGCGTGTTTGCTCAAAACTGCGCTACACGTGTACCACGAAACGACTCCGACAGAATGTTCAACACTTCCAGACTAACACGGTTTGGCCATGTTAATACAAATTGTTGACCCATGTCGGTCTACAATCTACGGGGCCGTTAATATCTTTGAACAATACGGATACAAATTTTAACGAAACCTCGGAGCTCTATGGGCTTCTAAAGAATCTCTTGGACCGAAGCATGATGAAGTGCTCCGGCGAGTAATTTCATGCGACCGTTTTTGCGCATTAGTTCTTCAATTTCTTGACTTAAAGCTCAGGCAGAATTTATATCGCGGCAGCGTCTGACACCTGTTCTGGTTATGGAAGGCAAACATGATAAATATCAACGAAAAACATGCCCTCAGTACCAAAATGTGTCATATCCAGCGATTTGTTGTTGTTTTTTTGGGGGGGACCCTTTTACTATCAGCGGGCCCTCTGCCAACCTTGTGCCTCCTCCCTTGTTAAGGTTCTGGCTACACGCCTGAAGCACACACATAGCGATCCTGCATTGCGTGAGCCCTGGTCTCAAAGTCATCGAATCAGAATGGTGCTAAAGACAATAATGACAACAATAAAACATGCCACCCAGGCACGCATATGGACCGCAGTTAGGGTCATGGGCTCCAGCTTAAACGAGGCCCCAGGTCTGTTTCATGGCCTGGGCCAGGGGCTCTGAAGGGCCTCTCTTCGCTACTAGAGCCCGACTGACCAGACCCTTCCATTGTTTCATTGTGGATCATTTCATTGTCATTTCTCATATGTTCATCCCATGTCAAGCATGGGATGCAACCCGATCAACGCAAGTGGCTCTTTGACAATCAGGGTTTCGTCCTGTTCTTCTTCAGTAAGACGTGCCTCTGGTCGACTAGGAGCCCCTCGCCGACACAGGCTCCCCTGTTCAGCACTCTGTTCCTTGATACAGGAAACCACATTGTTTCAAGGGCCCGGCCAACGCAGGAGGCCTTCAGTGACAATGGCAGACACCGGCCATGTCCCTGCTTCGTAAATAAGTCCCCAGGGCCCAAGCGGACTCACAGTCAACTGCTCAGCAGTGGTGGTCTTGGACCTATATAGACGCCTTGGAGCTCCCGGAACCCACGACAGGCGCAACGAGTTCCTCTGGCTGGTCTTGAGGCCAAGCTTTTGCCACAGGGTCGTCTTCCGGCCATCCATACGCGTTCTCTTATCGGGTCCTTGGTGGTCTGTGTTGAGGTGGGGGTCCCGAAGGCCACTCAGGGGCTAGCGGGGGATATTCTCTTGTTCCCCCTCTCCCCACCAACTGGTGGAGCTATTTGGTAGCACCTCAGCCAATCTGATGGATGACAGTCTTTCTGAACATTTCCCTGGGACATTACGGAAAATGACTTTTTAAAGCGTTGGTGAAAACAACCAAATTGGTGGCAAGTATCCAATCGGTGGTGGAGTGATCATTTTGGTTCTGATTCATCCAATTTGGAAAATGTCAATTTTGGCTATTCTAAGCTCATTTTTGGTGATGGCTTATAATGCGATATTTCGCGTCAATTACTCTAAATATTTACCAGGATATGGTAGCGATATGGCACCTTGCACATTATACGACCATTGGCGCACTTATGATTCAGTCCCCTTGGTCCACTTGTTTGAAGGTAAACAATAATGCTTGCTACAGGCAGCGCACGCTACGCGGAGCCAGCAATTGTCTTGTGGTGCATGTAGGTCAGTCGTTTTGGTAAGTGTACCCGTTATTGCAACAAATTCTGTCTTTCTTTTGCTGTCGTTTGCCAATTTTTCGTCATGCAGGGCTTTTGTCACGTGTCTTCGACGCATGACATTTTGTTATGATATCCACTACTACCTCTCAGACGTGTTTTCAATATTTGGCCAGATGATTATCATCGCCAGTGGGAGCAGTTTGGCTTTGTTTAAATATATTCGTCACCACATCAGAGGCAAAAGATAAGTTTAAAAAGTGAACATCGGAATGGCAACTTGTCAAGTATAGCATTGCCCATTTGTTATTTGGCCAGGTGCCTACTATTGCTTTTGGGAGCAGTGTGTCTTTGTTTGAATGTATTCATTATCACAGCAGATTTTTTCAAACAGATAAAGTATGCTTTAAAGGTTAATATCTGAATAACAACTTGTCAAGTGTAGCATTGTTCAACTGTTTGATAGGATTGCTCTCATTATTTGGGTAGTCAGTTCACCCATCATTTGATTACATTTCTCCTCATATGCTTTCTGTTCCATATTACAATATTGTTTCCCTGAGATAGATTCAATTCAAGGAAGTTCTGGCAGTCAGAATAATATATAGTTTTGTCTTACACAAACATTTCCACAGATTTTGGAGAATTCAAAGGATGTAGCATGTTCTTTTAGCATATTCCAATAGGTCCTGCCACATTATGTTGTCCCATTTGGTGGCTAACTTCTTCACAGAGTTCTGGCAGTTGAGCGGGACAGTCATTAATCAATACAGTAGTCGGCAAGACTTAATATTTGCTCAGAACATCTTTATTGGGTGTATAACTGGAATCAAAACCCTCAATTAGAAATGCTTGTATAAGCCCTGGCTCCATCATCTGATTGTGAAGTTCCAGTCCATCATCACAATTTTTGACCTGAAGTGTAACATGTGATGCTTGACACCACCTGCATGCCCTCATGTCACACCTGCCCTTAAATACAGTTGCTGGCAGTGGGCCATTATGACGGGGTCAAATATGGAACACTGAAGTGATTTAAACTCTGTTACCCTACCACCCCTACCCCTGTATTTGGGAGGCAGACACTCTGACGGGTAATTGAGCTTTGGGGACTATACAAAGCCTGCATGGGAGCGCACTTGCTGTTCTTCTGACTTATATTACTGTAATATCTTTTAAGCTCAGTCAGTTAAATGCTATAGATATATGTCCTGACAAGTTGTTTTATACTTGTTGTGTTGGTTCAGATAACTGTCAATTGTGGTGGTTTCATAAAAAGCTCATTGCCAATCATATGCCATGATTTGACAACTGATTGAAGGAGTCATGGCTGCTTTAAGAAACAGTTGCTTCAGATATGACATGCTTAACATTTAAAAACAAGAATTGTCAACAGCAACAGTGAAGCACAAAAATCAATGGAGTTTCTATGCACATGTGGCATGCTGAGGATGGGCTTCTTAAAAATATAGAGCAACATGGGCTGACATGATGGTGTGCAACAACAGTGCATCCAAGGTGGGGACATGGATTATTGAGCTCATTTGGCTGCAGTTGCCACTAGAACATTTTTCTACATTCTTATCATTTATTGTTATGAATATTTTGTTTTACTTGTCTGTTTTGTATATTGTAGCTGGTGCCTTTTTTGACATTTGAGATGATGGATGCATTGGTTGTGTATCCCATTTTCATGAAAAATATTTATTTGAGGGCTATGCAGAGGAATACATGATGAGATGAGAAAAGGAAATGGAAAATGAATCCAAATTTGTTGCAACATCATATTTTCTTTGATGCTTTTAATTTTGATAATTCTTCACAGTGTAATATTTTACCTGGGACAAGACTATAAGGCTGAAAGAGCACAAGTGCAAGCTGGAGGTAGGAACTTGCCATGGTTTGGGAGGAGGCTCAAGGGCCTTCATTTGAATATGAACTCATTTGCCTGGGTCTATGGAAACAGTATGGTTTAAGGCATTATTTTGTTGGCAAACTGATGTGTCAAAGATGGAGGCCTTGAGCTAACTAGTGACAACACATGGACTTACAGCACTGTGTAAACCAGCACTGTATTTAACCAGCACTGTGTAAAACTCACTCAGCCTTGCCCCATTTGGTGATTCTGATGAATAAGTGGGGCACAGTTTTTTGTACTCCTGTACTTGTAGTCTCTGACAGACTGCCCTGGTAGACTGTCTTGTTTTGGAGGCACTAGCCTGCTTCAGGTTTTGCAGTGCTGTACTGGGCTTCATTACAGCTTTGCTCTTTGTTGTTGGGTGAACACATTGCAGTTTTTTAGGGACATATGAAATGTATCAGGAGGCCCTCAGGTTTAATTTAGAGAAGTGAGATGTTTGGATTAAATTGAGCTTCCAAGGCCATATTTTCTCTGTGACTGTCTAGGGTAGTGTGTTTTGTAAGCCTTCCAGCACAGTTTGCAGTTGGAATGTCTTGGGATTGTGTTCTTTTTGTGGGACAGAGTCTAGCATCATTTTTCTTTGTATGTGCAAGGAGAAGGTTACAACATGTGAATATTTTGGCACCTGTCTTTCTCCAGAGCAAACAACCCTTTTCTTTGCAATTAATGTGCAAAGTTCTGACTTCAACATTGTTTAAGATTATATTTCTGCTTGCTAAACCCGTTGGGGTATCGAATCAGTGTGCTCTTTTGTTTTGGGTCTTTTAGCCTTGGTGCTTTTTTGTAGGAAAGGAGAGGGCCATGCTCCCGCCTGGTTACCTCGTGGCTCGTAGGAGGCATAATGTAAGTCTCAAGCTTCATGAAATACAAACCTCAACATGCTTTTGCAGACACTGGGGTGTATACAGGTGTTCATGTACTTGGCATTGATATGAGTCTGGACCACCTGTGACAGACTAACCGCCGCTATTGGGCCGTTCTAGTGCCGCTCAGTCTCGCTTCTGACCCCGTGAGTCAGAGCCGAAGATAAGGACGCGGATAGGCGCAGCCCCGGTGGCGGTCGCCCCACTCGATAAGCGGAATCCCACCGACGTCACCTGGCCGCCCCGGCGCCGAGTCTGGCCGCGCGAGCGGGCCGACGCCGGTGTGGGCGTCACTCGCGGTCGCGCTCCGCCCGGCCGGCGGGCAGCAGGCCTCGTGCCGGCTGGGATTGCGCCGGGCCCGACGGCGGACGTGCGGCGCCGCCATGCTGATCCAGAGCAGCGCCAGCCCGCCCTGCAGTCCGGCCATGGCGGCTAAGCCGGCGCGCGGGCCCGCCCCCGCCGCCGCCGTCAAGTGTGTGCTGGTGGGCGACGGCGCCGTCGGCAAGACCTCCATGGTGGTCAGCTACGCCAACAACGGCTACCCCAGCCAGTACCAGCCGACCACGTACGACGACTACAACGGTGAGTGGAGCTGCGGCCGAGCTGGAGCGCGCGGCCGAGCGCCGCGCCCGCGGAGGCTCGGGGGGCGGCGCTGGGCCGACGGCCGCCCGCTGCCTGGGCGGGGCCGTGGCGCGGAGGGTGTTCGCGCTGGAAGGGATGCGTGGGAATGCGTGCCGGGTCCCGGCTGCCGAACGTAACGCCTTCGAGCCCCGGGTACCGGTGAGAAATGTTCCCGGTGGAGGCAGTGCAGGCAGACATGCCGGGCAGCGAGTGAAACCAAGGTCAGTTCTGTATCGATATGACAGTGATCAGCTTGAGAACCGATTCGAGGTTTGTTTGAATTATTGATGGGTGGTGATGTGATATAGCCATTTTGACTGAATGGCTTCAGCGAGTTGTGTGTATGCCCAAACCAGACAGACAGACAGGCGCTGACGCCTCGCCCACACTCATCCATGTTTGGCACCAGCACTTCCTTGTGCGTCCCCCCCCCCCCCTCCGTCCCCCTGACACGCCCCTCCCACCCGGCAGTGGTGGTGATGGTGGACGGCCAGCCGGTGCGCCTGCAGCTGTGCGACACGGCCGGGCAGGTGAGCGGCGCGCCGCTGTCGGCCAGCACCCGTTCGGCCGTCGGCGATGACCTCGAGGGCGGCGCCGTGTTGGCACCCCGATAACGGCCTGAGCGCCAGCCGCTGGGCCGCCAGGGGCGACTGTGACGAGCGGCCGGCGGCCCGTCTAAACGTGCATCTCTCTCTCTCTCTCTCTCTCTCTCTCTCTCTCTCTCTCTCTCTCTCTCTCTCTCTCTCTCTCTCTCTCTCTCTCTCTCTCTCTCTCTCTCTCTCTCTCTCTCTCTCTCTCTCTCTCTCTCTCTCTCTCTCTCTCTCTCTCTCTCTCTCTCTCTCTCTCTCTCTCTCTCTCTCTCTCTCTCTCTCTCTCTTTCTTTCTTTCTCTCTTTCTCTCTCTCTCTCTCTCTCTCTCTCTCTCTCTCTCACTCACTCACTCACTCACTCACTCACTCACTCACTCACTCACTCACTCACTCCTCACTCCCTCACTCACTCACTCACTCACTCACTCACTCACTCACTCACTCACTCACTCACTCACTCACTCACTCACTCACTCACTCACTCACTCACTCACTCACTCACTCACTCACTCACTCACTCACTCACTCACTCACTCACTCACTCACTCACTCACTCACTCACTCACTCACTCACTCACTCACTCACTAACTCACTCACTCACTCACTCACTCACTCACTCACTCACTCACTCCACTCACTCACTCACTCACTCACTCACTCACTCACTCACTCACTCACTCACTCACTCACTCACTCACTCACTCACTCACTCACTCACTCACTCACTCACTCACTCACTCACTCACTCACTCACTCACTCACATCGCTTTCCCGCAGCGATGTCTCCGTACGCTGGCGGATGTGTCTGCGCCGCTGCTGCGATGCTACGTATGTGCCACCCACGAATGTTCATTCTCCATGCGACAGAGAACAGGCGCTTCCGTCAGAGTGCAGGTGCAGGTCAAAGTTCAAAGTGCATTGCACTGACCGACAACGTGCAGCGGCTTGTCGACATCTCATCGCTTGGAATCGATTTCGGCTTATTGTCCTTCGTGTCTGCACTGGCCGGATGTCCGGTCTCTACCGCGCCGGTTGATGGGAAAGAGTCGGCGCGGTTGCCGCGCCGGGTGATTGAAGAGATATTCGGCGCGGTGGCCACCACCGGGGGTGCTCCTCGTCGCTGATTATGACCCCTATCGAGCCCGTATCGACGGCCCCGCCGCCGGCACGGGCGCGACGGCACCGGCCGACACTGGCGACGCGTGCGCGGACACCTGATACGGAGCCTCATCCGCACGCGTTCTTGCAGGATGTTGCGCCGGGCGCGCGGCGTCACGTCACGTCACGTTATGTCATGTCACGTCACGTCACTGCGATCGTTCCGATCAGCCTACGGACAGCCAGTCGCTGGCGTCTGACCTGGCGTGTGTTGCAGGACGACTTCGACCGGCTGCACCCGGTCTGGTACGCGGACACGGACGTGTTCCTGGTCTGCTTCAGCGTCGTGTCGCCCACGTCCTTCCAGAACGTGCCGCAGAAGTGGGTGCGCGAGATCCGGCAGCACCGGCCGCAGGCGGCCATCGTGCTGGTGGGCACGCAGTCCGACCTCCGCTCCAACGTCGAGGTGAGGCGGCGCCGCGACGCGGGCGAGGCTGATGAACTGATGACTGAAAGGTCGTGAGTTCGAGACCTGTCGTGGGTTCGAGACTTTTTGCCCTGTTCACTGTAATCGACATTTGGGATTCAGCCTACAGGCCAAAGCAGATGCTTGTGTAATGCAGTTATACAGAAGATGAGCGTGGCCTGAGGCCAACGTCGTTGGACCGGGGTCGCTGTGGAGGCTACACATTGGATGCTGTAGCGACGAGTGCCAGACGGTTATCAAGCCCACCTGCCCAGGATGAGCGCTTGTGGTTTCCGGGTGACTGGCACGACTGTGGGCGGGCTGCATGAGGACATGTTCTCCATGACGCGGTCTGGTGTGTATGGCCCAGGTGGTATCTGTGTTAGTATCCTGTTACTCTGGTTTGAAGTCATCGGCCCTGTACTTCTTAGATCCCTCATTTCTTCGTAGATGAACACTTGCCTCATCTTCTGCGATTTTTCCGATTCTTGTAAGCACTTTGGCTCATCCTGTTCTTAAAACCGGCGATTCAACCCTAGTCTTAAATTACCACCCTATTTCCATCGCCCCCATCATGGCCAAGATGTTGAGCGTGTTGCGCAGCGCCAGGTGTTCACCTACACGTCCGGCGAGTATCTTCTGTCCTCCTTCCAACATGGTTTCGGCCCCCGCCATTCCACGGAGACCGCTGTCTCTGATGACCGTGACCAGGCGCGTCTTATCTGGCATAGACTGTGGCCATTTTACACTCCTGTGCCTCTTGGATCTCAGTAAGTGCTTCGACGTCATTCTTCATGCTCAGCTGCTTTCCAAGCTCCAGCTCTATAACGTTGACCGGGTTTTGGTCCTCGTCCCATCTTTCTGGTCTTTCCCAGTCGGTCTGCATCTCTTCCTCTTCTGGCGACAGAGTGGTCTTCAAGCGCCTTCCTAATACTACGGGGGTCTTCCAGTGACCAGCCCTTGGCCTTCTTTTACTCAGTCTTTGTCAACGACCTCGGCCTGCGCGCGCCAGGCGCTCATGTGACCCAACACGCTGAGAGCATAGAAATATTTATATGATGTCAAACGCAAGCTTCCCTCCCGCATCCAATACATTAAAACCACCCCGTCCTTCCTAGCATCGTGATTCCATGCTCACGGTCTCAAGCTCAATGCACCCAAAACCAGTCCTTCTCCTTGGCATCATGCAAAACCCATGCGGACCTTCCTATCAGTGCCAGGGTCAGCCGGACCCAACCAAGTGTGCTGGAGGGCCAGACGCCCAAAAATCTTGGGCGTGCTATTGGACCGCCGCCTTAGCTGGGACGCAGATGTCAGTGATTCAGTTAAAAAAATGGATCGGCGTTCTGAGCGGTCTCCGCCACCTGACACGTTTCCTCCCACGAGTGCTGCTGACCATCGTACAGAGTCTAGTCATCTCGCGTGTGAGGTACTACATTTCACTGCATGGCCATAGGCCATCTGTTAACGGGGCCAGACTGCTTTAAGTAGTTTCGCTAGTAGTAGCTCGTAGCTTCGCTACGAGAGTAGTAACTGGCCAAGAGAGTATGACCACATGCCTCGCACGCGGGATGACCTGCACTTGGCCACGCCTCGCCGAATGTGTGACGCGCAAACTAATCACTGCGCACAAAGCCCGTGAGTGATGTTAACGTGCAGGTCTTGCCTGCTTGCTTCATACGTGCGCTGACACGCGGACCGGTGACCGATCTACCCACGCGGCCCATGGCCTGCTCCCCCGGCAGTGCACATGGCAACAGGACAGACGTCCTTCGCACGCCGAGCGGCCTGTCCCATGAACGGGCTGCGGAGGGATGTGAGACGACTGGGTCCGGGTTTTAAGCGCGCTGCCAAGTCATTTTTTAATATCTTTCAGACTAATGACGCGTAATTGCCACGTATTTGTGTGGAGTGTCCGTTGATGCCAAATATGATGCCAGTAATAGGTGAACGACGTTGTGAGGAACGTAATTGCTGAATGCCATAGCGACGCTATTTAGAGAAGTTTTGCACATGAAAGCATATCACTAGTTCCTTGTAAGCTTTAGTCATCAAGTTTGCCTCCATACTTAAATGGTGGGGCAATCCCTTTAATAAGTCGTAAAATGTTCTTTGATTTTCGATTTGTGCGGGATCAGCTCTATCGATGACCACGCGTGCGCTGCGCGTGCACGGCACGCGGTGTGGCGTCATCACTGGGCACCGATCCACCCCAGGTGCTGATCGAGCTGTCCCGGTACAAGGAGGCGCCCGTCAGCGAGGCCGAGGCGCGCCGGCTGGCCGCCAGCATCCGCGCCGCCGCCTACGTCGAGTGCTCGGCGCTCACGCAGCGCAACGTCAAGGAGG